GGTGTAGGGTATCACCATTTAAATCCAAGTCTTGACCACTAGGATCCAAATCACCTACATTTTGATCAAATACTTCCACAACATCTTCCTCAAGATTGTATATAAGAGTCTAAATTTCCTCAAGATATTCCCCTTGAAAGTCAGACTTGGAGAAATACATAGTATCTTCATAAAAGACAACATCCATAGTGATAAACATGCGTTTAGTAGGGGGATGATAGCACATCTATCCTTTTTTATGAATAGCATATCCAACAAAGACACATTTCAAGGCTCGAGGCATTAACTTATTGCGTTGGTGTTTGGGGAGATGAACATAGGCAACACATCTGAAGACATGACGGGGGAGGTTTGGGACTATTAGAGCAACAACAACTTCAGCAAGTGCCTGGAATGGTGTCTTGAAGTTGATAGAACGAGATGAAACATGATTGATGAGATATGCTGTAGAGAGAAGTGCTTCGTCCCAGTAACATAAGGGCATGTGAGCCTCGATGAGGGAAGTGTGAACAACCTCCAATAAGTGTCTATTTTTGTGTTCGGCCACACCATTCTGTTGAGGTGTATCTAGACAACTAGTTTGATAGAATGAGCCATGAGAGTCCAAAAATTGCTGAAGTTCACAACTATGGTATTCCCTGCCATTATCACTACGTAACACTTGTATTCGGGAATTGTACTTTGTACGAATGGTATTATAAAATTTCTGAAACAACAAGTTAACTTCTGATTTGGATTTCATCAAACACAACCAAGTCATCCGAGTATAATCATCTATAAAGGTAATAAACCAATGTGCCCCACTTAATGTGGGACCTTTGGATGATCCCCAAACATCAGAGTGAATAACCATAAAAGAAATATGACTTTTATTTAAAATCAAAGGAAATGCGGTATGATGGCTTTTTCCAAGTTCACAGACATTACATTTGAAAATAGAAATATCAAACTTCCTAAACAAACTAGGAAACAACTTTTTCAAATAACCAAATGAGGCATGTCCCAAACGTCGATGCCAGAGCAAGATCTCAGCTTTCTTCTTTGGTGAACGAGTGCTCTCTACCAATAAAGCCTGTTGTAATTTGCTGGAAGTTTCTGACTCCAAGTCCAAGTAATATAGCTTCCCTCTCTTAACACCATAACCAATCGTTTGCCGAGTCTGAATGTCCTCAAACACACAATGATCAGGCCAAAAAATAACAACAGAAGATAAAGTAGTAGTGATCTGAGAGACTGACAAAAGGTTATAATCTAAGGAGGGAACAACTAACACAGAATCAAGATGTAAAGTATTAGTAAGATGTGATGACCCTTCCCCAACAACTGGGGTGGTATTAACGTTGGCCGTGGAGACACAATTTTGGGAGGATGGATTAAGATTTGTGACTTGTCTAACATTAAATGTCATATGATCAGTAGCACCAGAATCAATTATCCATGCACTATTCAAAACAGGTGTAGAAGCGGTGAAGACCTTACCTTCAGTGTTTGTAGTGGTTAGCAATGCTGATGACATGGGAGGGGCATCATCTTCCTTTGTTTGAGCAACTGCGGCAGTGGAAGGCCGCTTGGAATTCTGATGCCGTGTTGGGTCCCACCAATCTGGATATCCCATAAGTTCAAAGCAACGACTTTTTGAATGATCTGTTTGATTGCAGTGAGTGCATTTGTATGTAGGTTTGTCTAAACTGTTGGAATGCTTCAGATTGGTGGCTTTGGGCTAGTCTTAGGATGTTTGACTGGGTCGACGGCAGGAAACCATAGCAGAAGCTTCAGGTTTCTCAATGTCCTCATTCAAAGTAGTTGATCGTATGGCCTCACGACGGACTAAGGAATAACACTCTTCCAGACTTAGGAGTGGCGACAGGTGGATCGTTGACGGCCTTCAGACAGCTACTTTGAGGTTTGGGTTTTGTTTTGAAATGGATTTAGTTTGCTGTTTGTTGGGATTTGATTTTGATATGTGGGTTTTGATTTTTGAAATTGATTTGGCTGGTATTTGTTTGAAATCTGGTTTTGATTTCTGATTATGGGTATTTGTGTTTTTGTGAGTTAGAATTTTGGGATGAATTTTTGGGCATGGATTGCAAAGGTTTTCAAAACCTTGTTCGTTTCTGATACCATAAAAACCAATATGATAAATTAGTATATTTGTTATTCGCAATAGGCTGATGAAATACAGAGTATAAATAGGGTTAGAATCCCCAATTAATTCTCTAGAAATCTGCCTATACAATCTTCTATATAAAGAAATAATATCAATTGGCTATCTTTACAAAATGGTTGACAATCTCAACCATTGCACCCCAAGATTTTCTTTTGGTTTCACGTGTTGCTACCGAACAACAAATATGAATTAGATAATGACAAACGATATAAAGTGATTGCTACAAAGTGACAGGGAAATATTTGTTTCTTTCTAAACACCACACGAAAACCGATATTTGGACCGTTATCTTGAAAAGATAAATATATGTATGTAGATAGATAGATAGATGTATCTTCCTTCAAGGACGTTCATTCTTCATAGTTTTCTCATAGGATCATTTTTGCATCAGAAAGATGGAAGGAGAGAAAGGAATGGTGTGCGTGACAGGTGGTACCGAATATACAGGATCATGGCTGATAATGAGACTTCTTGATCATGGTTACTCAGTCAGAACTATTGTCAAATCTAACCCAGGTGAGCCATTTTTTAATAGAAAAAAAAGTATATTTCGGCCGGTGATGACCATCAAGAATTTTTTACAGAAATTCTAGATCAAGTTAATTTGTAGAAATTTTAGGATTTTTTTTTTTTTTTGAAGTGTTAACCATGTAGTTAAAGAATTTCTTTGTAGTCCTCTTGATTATATATCCATTAAGGAAAAAAAAAATGGTGTGTGCTTAAATTTTAGCTCATTCCTGGAGTAGGAATAATTATATTGTGGACTAGTGATATTGGATTTAAATGTTATAAATATGGACATTGAGCTTGTGGTTGCAGAGCATAAGAAAGACCTTAGCTTCCTCACAAGTCTACCAGGAGCAACAGAAAGGCTCAAAATCTTCGACGCGGATCTAAGCAATCCCGAAAGTTTGAAAGCAGCGATCGAAGGGTGCATTGGGGTCTTCCTTGTTGCCACTCCAATTGATATCGGGAACCAAGAAACAGAGGAAGTGGTGATCAAAAGATCAATAGATGGAGCAATCGGGATCGTACAAGCATGCTTAGATTCGAAAACGGTGAAAAAAGTCATGTATACTTCTAGTTCCGCTGCTGTGCTGTTCAATGGCAAGGGCTTGGATGAAATGGACGAGACATTTTGGACTGACATAGACTATGTCAAATCTCTCAAGTCAAATGCAGCTTCCTACCTGATCTCGAAGACCTTAACCGAAAAGGCGGTCCTTGAATTTTCGGAAAAACATGGTTTGGAAGTTGCCACATTGGTTCTTTGTTTTATTTCTGGCCCTTTCATTTTACCTGAGGTCCCTCGTTCTGTTCAGTCCGTATTTGAAATGGTCTTTGGTAAGTAATATTGCTTTTAAGACAACATTCTTGGTCTTGACTGTTTTAAGTAGTTAGAAATATTGAAAATCTCCTCATAACTCAATAGGATCAATTCTCACATTGTGGCTGCTGAACTTAATCTGATCTCGAGTCCAGATTGCTTCCGGCCAACACCTTTTGTTGTAGCTCTATTCTTATCCTAACATGAAATTAGAGCTTTTCATAAATATGTTACGAACTAGATCACCTCTAATGAAGCTTGTTATGGATTCCTATTTATGGAGGGTGAAATGTAACTGGCCACAAAAATTTATTTTTACTAAAAATAATACCTAACTTGTAATTTGGGTAACTAATAAAAGTACACAATGATGATTCTATTTTCATGAAGCACAACATATTGATACGCTCTGCGTTTATGATGTTCGTGATGTGTGTCATTGCTCTTATGCAGGCGACAAGAGCAAACCTAATTCTCTTACCCGTTTAGATTTGGTGCATGTGGATGATGTTGCTAGAGCTCTCATTTTCCTATTTGAAAATCCCGAGGCGAAAGGGCGGTATAATTGCTCAGCAGATACTATCTCCGTCGAAAGTACAGCCAAGTTGTTTTCTACCAAATACTCAGAACTTCGGTTACCTAGTAAAAGGCTAGTCTAGTTATTCTCTTCAATTGCTCTTTTTTTTTTTTGTTTTTTTTTTTGTTTGGAATCTTCCTTCTTTTGGTTGGCTATGATCTCAAATTTCATAATCTTTCATTTCACCGATTTGAGTTTTTAATTTCAGTTTTGTTACAGTTAAAAACTTTTATAAAAAGTCACATCTGACTTTTTTTGTTACAGAGACACATAAAATCACGTCTAAACTCGAATTGAAAATTTAAATCCGCAAATTGAACAAGACCTTATAATTTGTGCAGTTCACTAGTGAAAATGGAAGTGAATTGGCCTTCTCTCTCGACAAAGAAGCTACTAGATTCAGGTTTCCAATTCAAGTACGGAGTCGAAGAAATATTTAACGATGCAATAGAATGCTGTAAAGAAAAGGGGTACCTATAATGTGTTTTAATTTCTTTTAAGCCTGTTGGGTTTATTTGCTCTTCTTACCGTCAATATGTACTTCTCATGTTGATCGAATTAAAGCTCTAAAACCATATGGAGTTTTTTGTGTGGTTTTCAAGACGTTTATATATTGAAAACGCAGCCGTTGAATTTTCAGAGAGAAAGGGATTATATAGAGCCTATATTTTCTTTGCAAAGGGGAATATATAATTATTGATAATTGGTTGTCTTTTGGTCAAATGACTTATTTACCCATTTTGAGATACCATTTTGAGGATTTATTTTGAGTAGGACCCGTTTTGTGGGTGAATGAAAATTTGTTACCCAAATTGCACTAAAGGAGTTGAAAAATTAAAAGAGAAATTCTTGTCTGGAAAATATAACAGAGATCCCTTGTACATTGTTTATATATATATATATATATATGGTTACCCATTTGTTTTGTTGATAAGTTTGTATGCATGGCATGAGGGCACGTGTTCAGTGAAGGAGTGATCAATTTTAAGGACATTATGACGGCACGGTCTCGTTCTTCAATTTTAATTTTATAATTCATCTCTCCTTTAAAACAATCCGGATTGTTTAACGGATTGTTATGAACAACTCCATCACATTTATTTTTTTATCTTTTCTCTTTCTTCAACTTTAAGTTAAAAACCTCAGTGATTTAAATAACTCCAAATTAAGTTCCATAAATCAATCAGATTTATATTTCTATTAAAAATTCTAATGAAAGACATTTCTATCTTCAAGAAACATAATTTGTGTAATTCATCTAAAAAAAGTGTTATATATTTTTGTTCATTTCTCCAACTGTTTAGATTCTCTCTCCATCTAAATAGAGCAAATAGTTCAGCCAAAAAAAAAAAAAAGTTAAGTACGTATAGACAGAGTAAAGTATGTTTTGATCACATTTGCTGTTACGTTCATCTTTCGAGATCCTTATTGACAAGGAAAAAAGTTAGTTTCTATATCTATAAGCATATAAAATGCGTCTATCAATCCTACTTCAATATCTGTGCTCGTCTGGTTGAGCTGCTTTTATTTTATTTTATTTTATTTTTTGCCTTTGAAGCTGTACTTGTTAGTAACGAACCTTCACAAACCATCACAATTATCTTAACTTTCAAACATTTACCTTTAAAAAAATACAGAAAATAGTTAAAGTTGAAATACTTTACTTTAAATGACTTGAAGAAATCCTAAATTTTTTTTATATTATAACTTTACAAATTTTAAACCTTACCAAAGAAAAATAATATTTAGGTTCAACTCATTTATTAAAATCCATACCGTAAAATAAACTAAAAAAAAGATCTTAAGTATTCTTCAAATTAAAACCACCATAAATCAAAATTCTAAAACAATAAAAATAAAAATTTAAAAACTTTGTTTAACATTAAGCACTTTCATTCAATGATCGTTTATCTCGTTTTCCTATCACGCACCGCTCGTATTTGATCCAAGATTCTCCATGGCTATATCTTACCCTTTAGATTGTTTGCAACATGAAATAACTTATATAACCAAGGGCTTAGTAAGACACTTAATTCTCACAAATTTAAATGAACATTTTTATGCATCAACAATAAACATCATTATGAGAATAATTATTTTTGAACATGTTTAAACTTTAAAATCCATAATATATTGGGCCCAACGTTGTACCATCATAGCGCGCTAGCCACGAAAAGCATGGGATAGTAAATCCCATACCAACCGTGGCAATAAGACCGGTCACCGGTCACCATCAAGGGTGTACAACGCCATTTAAATACATAAAAATACATGTATACATTTTCTTCAAAACGTCACCATATGAAATATTAAAGGTGTCATAACATCATTATAAACATCAAAATCATATATTTCTCAATTCTTCAATTCATGTTGCAGGTGGGAGTGTACTTACAAAAATGCCTTAGTTAACATTTTTAAATTTTTCAACGGTGACGCGACGAATGAGGTCCTCGGGTGCTCACTTCTAAAACCGTTCATGCCATAAATCATAAATATAATAAAATTAAAAAAACATTAATTCATCAAATCCCTCAGTCATATTACAACAGGGCCTAGAAGGCCAATTTCATCATTTAATAACATCAAGACACAAAAATCCCAATAATTACACAAAATTTCCAAATCTTACAAAAACTGGCAGCCTAACCTTTATCTCTTTAAAAATTCATAACAAATAATAAAAAAACTCAAAACGACCTGAAACTGATGTCAAATGAAAATAGACTCAAGATCTTTTAACAACATCTTATTTTTAAAAATGGTGCTCGTTTGTTCCCTCAAACACTGTTTTAAAATCAAAATATGAAACCTGGAAAAATTTCAGCACTCAAACTAGGACGAAATTCACCAAAAATTCTATAAAATACAAAACTATCATCCTCAACATGTATATACAACAATCCATTTATTATTCAGCGCTATAACATGTTTCTAATACTTAAAGAAATATAAATACGTGCATATATATATATATATATATACATCTTCTACCTACAAAATGACGATCAAAAGAATTATATGACCCAATCATATAAATGATCATAAATAAATCCTAGCATTTTTCTAGGTTGTACAAGAACCGATAATTCCATTATTAACTCAATTACTAAAATCGTCAACCCCGATAGCATGCTTTCTAGGAAGATACAAAATAAAATAATCAAATAATAACTATGACTAACATAGAGTCTAATAGAAACCTACACTCAAAATCATGGAATCAAATTAAAAACTGAATAGCCTTGAATCATAGAACTCATATTGATGGTATAGCCTCACTCATCATCATCTTATAAATACGTCTCTCCTCTTTCTCAAACAAAAATCATCATTGCAATCAAGTCCGTACCCTTGAAGAATTCTAACCCAAAAGAATAAATAACAAGAGAAATCATACCTTAACGATCTCCAATTTTATCTTGATTGCTAGAAGAATTCAAAAGAAAGATGAGCTTGATGGCTGATTATGGAGGCTCTCTATTGTGGTGTTCTTGAACGCGAAAGAAAGAAGAAGAAAGAGGGGAAGAGAGAGAAAGTAAGAGCTTGAAAATGTTTATTGGTTCATAAGTCATATAAAATTAAAAGGGATTAATTTGGTATTAATTGGGGATTAATTCTGTGATTAAATGGCCCCTTAATAGTTGGGGGAATGGCTGTCATTAGGGTGTAAAATCGTGTGGAAGGCAAATAAAAGAGTTAGGTCAACTTCTAGAATTTCTGTTCATGTTCGCGTGCAGTAACCTGGTCGGAGACTGCTGGATATCCGGATGGTATACTGGCCACATCTTCTTACTCCGATGTCCGATTTGCGCACATGAGAAGGCGTTGGAAAGCTTATGAAAGGCTCTATAGTTTTGTATAAACTAATGGAATAATTTCAGAATTTTAAAGGTCCAAAATAGAGCTGAAAATTAACGTCATAGAAATAGTTCTTTTGTCTAAAAAGAAAAATCAAGGAAAAACTTAAAATTTTTCTAAGACACTTAATTTCATGCATTATAACATGAAGTACATCATATCATGAACATATATTCATTTATCAAATCATTAAAAAAATGAACATATATATATATATAATTTCTATAAAATGGCATGAACTTTTTCTTAGCACCTCGAGTCCTCGTCGCGTTCACCTGTAAAATGTAACTCAATGTAATGTTAGAATTAACTAATTATAATACTATAACATTATATAGGATGGGGCCTAGATGTCTTGAGTCATGGATTCACTATGACACTACCCTCTGGGAAAGTGATGATGTCTACACATAGGCTGGAAACAGTGCCTATGAGTATCATTGATAGGGAACTCTATAGTGATCTGATAGTGCTCCAAATGTATGAGTATGACCTAATATTAGGTATGGATTTCCTGAAAAAATACAACGCATCTATTGAGTGCCGAAGATGTAAGGTCATATTTAGCCTCGAAGGAGAGACTCAATTCAAATTCGTTGGTTAACTGAGAAAGAAGACAAAGTTATTTATGTCAGCAATGAATGCCCAAAAGAGGCTAGCTAGTGGTTGTACTAGTTTCTTAGCCAACATCATTGATAAAAAGAAAGAAGATAAGTTAGAAATTAAAGATGTGTTTGTCGTACAAGATTTTAGTGAGGTGCTTCACGGATGATTTGCCAGGTTCGCCGCCGGATAGAGAAATTGAATTTGAGGTTGAGCTGCCACCTGGCTCTGGACCAATCTCTAAGGCTCTATATCGCATGACACCTGCAGAATTCAAGGAACTGCATAAGCAACTTCAAGAGCTGTTGGATAAAGGTTTCATCTACCCCAGTCATTTACCATGGGGAGCTCCGGTTAAAAGAGTTAGGTCAACTTCTAGAATTTCTGTTCATGTTCGCGTGCAGTAACCTGGTCGGAGACTGCTGGATATCCGGATGGTATACTGGCCACATCTTCTTACTCCGATGTCCGATTTGCGCACATGAGAAGGCGTTGGAAAGCTTATGAAAGGCTCTATAGTTTTGTATAAACTAATGGAATAATTTCAGAATTTTAAAGGTCCAAAATAGAGCTAAAAATTAACATCATGGAAATAGTTTTTTTGTCTAAAAAGAAAAATCAAGGAAAAACTTAAAATTTTCCTAAGACACTTAATTCCATGCATTATAACATGAAGTACATCATATCATGAACATATATTCATTTATCAAATCATTAAAAAAATGAACATATATATATATATAATTTCTATAAAATGGCATGAACTTTTTCTTAGCACCTCGAGTCCTCGTCGCGTTCACCTGTAAAATGTAACTCAATGTAATGTTAGAATTAACTAATTATAATACTATAACATTATATAGGATGGGGCCTAGATGTCTTGAGTCATGGATTCACTATGACACTACCCTCTGGGAAAGTGATGATGTCTACACATAGGCTGGAAACAGTGCCTATGAGTATCATTGATAGGGAACTCTATAGTGATCTGATAGTGCTCCAAATGTATGAGTATGACCTAATATTAGGTATGGATTTCCTGAAAAAATACAACGCATCTATTGAGTGCCGAAGATGTAAGGTCATATTTAGCCTCGAAGGAGAGACTCAATTCAAATTCGTTGGTTAACTGAGAAAGAAGACAAAGTTATTTATGTCAGCAATGAATGCCCAAAAGAGGCTAGCTAGTGGTTGTACTAGTTTCTTAGCCA